TACCTTTTACTGTTTAACGTTTGGTAAGTGGTCGCCATGATAAGTGCTGTCCAAATAGCTGGAATAAACTGGAAGTAAGAAACATGCTGGAAAAAGGAAGGTATAAGGAACGATATATTTTCCCCACAATCCTTTGCATGACAGGATGTAGAACCATAATTCAAAATCTCTGTTTACATGGACAATAAAATGATCGGATCATGACGTATGTGGACCTTCAAGGGGAGGACTCAGCAGTATCTTATGCTAACGCTCCTCTCATACCGGGGTTGAGGTCAGGATTTCATGCTACGTTTAATGCCACCTCCTCCACCAAGGAGGACCAGGACCTAGTGGATGAAGATAGGAATAAAGAGGAAAAAGTCACACTGATGTTACACACATGAGCAGCAGAGATGATTTTACCCCAAAAATCATGGATAATGATCGCAATGGCGATCGGAAAAAGCCATCTCTCTCTTTCGGATTGAATTTTCTTTGATCTGATCAGAATCTTCAGTCAACATGTTTTAGACCTTTTTGATCTGATTGACTCTTCAATCTGATTATTTGTGTCCATGTAAATGTAGCTATTGTTTTTAATAAAGTCCAAACCGTTCTGTTGTATTGAGCTCAGTTATTGTAAAGTATAGCAAATCATTAGATTTCACCTTACTATGCCCCCAAGTTGACACACAAACAATGTGAATTAAGCAACATTTAAATTTAAGATTTAAGAGAACCTTGAAATCAGTTTAGGAGACTAGGGATTGATGTTCAAGCAATTGTCTTTGCAAATTCTAGAAGCTTTACAATCCCAAAGGGAGAAGTGATCCTGCCTCTGCCCGTTGTTTGGAAATAAGCAACTGCTACATGCTTATGCATTCTCTTTGCCCGTAGGATTCCAGAGGACCGTGTAGGGGAGAACAGAGACAACATTGCCAAGGGAACACACACTGCAGCCTTTTAGTGTCCTGCTGGCTATTTCGGAACAAGACAGACTTGTCTGTGAGATTCTCTCTGAATATATATAATTAATCAGAGATCCCAGAATTGGATCAGGAAACCACAAAGGACACATCTAACCTTCCATATCCTATCTGACAAGACCCATTCAACACGACCCAGCCTGGGCTAAACTTTCTTGAACTTGGGAGATGCCTCAGTTTTCCAACACAGATCAGTTCTGGCAAAGTAGGGAAAGCTATTTGTGTTTTTGATGATTTCTGATCATTTCCTATGTTTATTGGTGTGTAAAGCAGGCTTTAGAAGCTAATGGCAACTACTTGGTACCCAAAGCTTGTTTATAAAGCTAAAATAAGCTTTATTTAAATTACAGTTTAAATATTAATATAACATTAACCTTTATGTGTTTCCTGATATACTCAATACATTTAATTGCCAAAAAATGGCCTTTTGGCAATTAATTAAGCAAGTCCCTTCATGCCTGCTTAATACTACGTCCACTATTATTATTTTAAGCTAAGTGGACCTTACCTTTAACTATTCCCTTAAGAACATTTAAAAAAAGGTAACGAATCAATCATCTAAACGTTTATTAATTTCTGATAAAGGCAAATTATTCAAAAATGTATTATTTTAACAACTAATGTTTATTGGGTTTTTTTTGTTTGTATTTACTGTTGATTTGCATTATGAATTAGTTTGAACACATTCACATCACTCTAAATGAGTTAAAAGGTCAGACATAAAATCTACTTTTATTTCTCGCTCTAACTTATAGCCATGTAGACATGTTTTCCCACAGCAATATGACAGTCAGTAAGTTATTTGATTAAATTACATAAGTGACACCATTGCATTAAATATCCACTGTCTCTTGGGTTGGCATTTAATGTAAAGTTATTGCATAACGCGTCACAAAAATTGACAAGAACAGAATCTGCCCATATTTCACAGGGCCTGCTGGAAGTCTGTTCTGACATGTTTGTGCATCATAAACAGGTACAGATTAATTAAATGAAAATGTATTCCATTCATAAAAGCAACTTTATTTAAAGTTTGTGTCCTTAAGGTAATAGGAAATACTTTTTTTAAATTTGCATGCATTTCCAAATTGTAGTTATGTGTATTCAGGGGTAATTTATATAGCACCATTAACTGCAATATATTGTATATCTGGGCATAGGCTTGAAGCTGACCCATACAGCTGCATTATACCGCTTAGTAGTAACTGCGAAATACTAGATCCATCAATCAGCTCCAAACACCCCTGTTGAAAAGAGCACAGTATTAAGAAGTACAACCGATTTACTGATGGTGTTTTCATTATTTATTGAGGTGTAATGTAATCGTTTGAGACTAAATTTAGTTTAATAATAAAGATTTAACTTATAAAAGCTTTAAATTGTGAAAACAAACATCAAGATCACCTCTCCTTATGTAAAATAAAACTGAATAAAGTAATACTTTCATGAAATTAGGAGAGTTATGAGGCTTTATAGTTTATTTCTTGACTGAAAAAGTGCATTGCTACAATAAATGTTCACGGCTGGTCAAACTTCTGCATGAATTACTGCACACTTTAATCCACTCTTATTCAACATTGGTATTTGTGCATGGTGAGTTTTTTGTGCTCACACCCTTCGAACATTGCACTCCAGGTTCTTTACTACTACTGTATTACACTGCCTTGCAGAAGTATTAGGCCCCCTTGAACTTTTTGACCTGTTTTCAGCTGTCAGGTTTCAAACATACAAATATAAAACTGATTTTTTTTTGTAAAGAATCAACAATTGGGACACAATCATGAAGTGGAACAAAATTTGTGTGACACTTAAACTTTTTTTATTATTTAAAATGAATAGTTTATAAAAGAATTTTAAATAAAAACTGAAAAATTGTGAGGAAAAAGTTAAGAAAATGTCACTCATCCATCCATCCCCACCGAGGTCCAGCTGTCTTTGTCCTCACAGTTTAGAGACTAATTAACCTCATTAACTCGTGGACTGATGGAGGAAGCTGGAGCACCCAGAAAGCCACTGAGCAATGGAGAACAACATGTTAGTATTTTTGTGGTTTTGCTGTTCTTCTGGCCTGATTCTTGTTAAAGAGAGGATCTTGGCTGGGCCTACGTGCCACATGCATGGCTGTCTCCATACAGTGAGCTTGGGATCCCCAGATTAGAAAACTATCAGAAATCAAATCAACTTTCAGTAATGCAAGTAAAGACATCTAAATCTGTTAATCTGTTTTTAGGATGAGGCTAAGATGGTTTTTCTTGCTCAATGATCTCAGGAGACTTTCATCATAAATCAGGGCTGTAGCAAACCAGATAAAGTCATCAGAACCATGAAACCTTCAGGAGGTACAGAAGATAAAATAAAATGCAGCAAAAGAGGAAAAAATGGAATGCTGAGCAGATCAGAGGCAAAGTGCTGAAAGCAGAGGTATTATATATTCTGAGAGCTTTCAGAGCCTCGGTGTCTGCAGGATGAGGAGCAAGCTCCACTGGCCCCAACAGAACCAGAATCAACCGAAAAGGATCAGAACAGTCCAACAGCACAGACACCGGGCCTGGAAGAATTAACGTATTTCACAGGCAGTGAACTAAAGATTGAATTGTGCCTTGATCTTTAGGAGAACCAACATGAAACGTGTTCAAGGGTTTAATGATTAACACATTCGATATTTGATGGAAATAGGAAGAACAGAAGATAATTTTCCATGCGGGGGGCCGGCCTTCACCTGAAGTTTCTAATTGAGCTTCTTGTTGTGTGATCTGGTTCTGGAGGAGCTCTTTACCAACATCTGGAGCTGCTGGGTGTTCCAGAGCCATGGAACAAAAACAGTGGCCCTGTCTCTTAAATCAGACCAAGGTCGGGGTTTCATGTTCATGGCTCTGCAGAGACACCGCTGCAGGTCAGAGTTACTCAGGAATGTGTTTATTTGAGCCGTTCTCCTGCTTTCAGCTCCAGAGGAGACTGATTGGCTCTGGATCAAAACTCCCACCGTAAATGATGACCAGCTGCCTCAGAACTGGCTCCATCTGTCCCTGTGAGGACTGCCTCAGGTTGCAGAGCGGTGAATACCTGAGTGGCATCCTCCTCACTGTGCGAAGGCCTCTCTGAGGGATCTCCCAGGCTTTTTTATTTTAACCCTGTTGTTTCAGGCTGAGGAAATAAAGCCAGAAGAACACACCTTCCCCTGTGCTTTTCATCTTTCTGAATAAAATATTTAGAGCTTAGAAAGAAGCTGATTCATTAGCATCTAAAACAGTTTGGGCCAGAAATCAAAACCATAAAACATGTGAACCTCATCGCTATATTGGTCCCATTTATTTAGGATCATAAAAAAGGCTCACAGCCTGGATGAAAATGGGTTCACACAATGATGGTTATGTTACAGCTACGTAAGTGGAGCTGAGCACTTCAGGTACATCAGGAAATCTGACCTTTAGTGTTGACCCGTTGGGCTCCATTCACTGGGAAACTAATAAGCAAGACTGGGAAACACAAAGCTGGATTCGCTCAGATTAGGCCCTGTTGGCATGGTCCAGATCGTCCTAATAAGTTCCTCTAAAATGTTCCTGTAGATGTAAGCTGAGCAAACCTCTGAGCTGCAAAATGGGTCAGAACTCTGGGCACCTAAATCAGCTGATAATCTGGGTCTAAACTTTGGACCAGAAAATCTTCTCTAAAAGGTTCTGCTCACATTTAAAGCACCATCCCATAATATCATCACCAGGGCTTCTACTGCTGGTCAGCTTTCAAGGTATTTTCTGCCCCACCGAGTTCTTGATTTATTCTCTTTTAATCACAAAAATGTGTAGAAAATGTTCCACAGGTCTCTGATCTGTTAAACACTTGTTTCCCAGAAAACAGGCGCCTCTAGGTGGCGCCAGATGGGCCAATGGCACTACAGAGGTCATGGATCTGTGGTGAAGCTGCACATCATTAGTAGTAGTAGTCATTATAAGTACATATGTGTTTGCGTAGAAAAGCAGAACCCCAGCTGGTTCTGGCAGGTCTGGAGACTTAGAGTGATTTAGAGGGACTCACGTGGGTTTGCCACAGATCTTCCGGTGGTACCACTGTTTGCAGTTGGTGAAGTATTTCTTGTCAGTCCCTTTGACCAGCTGCATGGCACAAACATTAGGCCTGAAACAGACAAAAGAATAATTCAAAATATAAGAAAATATCTTCACAATGAGTTTAAGAGGAGATCGGTTGAGTCCAGTCCACCTTAAAAGCTTAGCTGATGTTAAAGTGGAATGAAGCTTAACAAACAGATTGATCGGTGAAAATTAGCTGAGAGGAGGCAGCGATTAGTTAAAGACAAGACTCCCTGTTTCCAAACTTGATGTTTTAATAGGCCAGATTTAAGATCCTCCTGTTTTACAAATTTCTAACCCTGATCCTTAGAGACTGTTTCTCTGAACCCAAACAAGCCTGCAGGTTTTATTCCTCCTTAAACCACTAACTCCTGCAGAGACATGAATGGAGAGATTTTCACAGATTTAAACAGAGACCATCTCAGTTTTCCAAACACTTTCACCAGATAAGACCTTTGGGAGACCTTTCAGTCCACATTAAGTTTACTGATTATTTATACCCTCTGATTCCACCTTAAACTGAAATATTCCAGAAACATAAAAAAGTGGAATCAGTGCATAGATTTAAGATGTTGTTACCAGAACATCTGGTTTCTACTAAACAGAACTAACGCTGTTGTACTTTAAATGGTAAACTACTAGGACTCTCCTGTCTTATTCTAACACACCAGTTGTCTTACAATAAGTGTCCAGCAGAGAGCGCTGTGCGGATCCAGGTGTCCGGACCTGGAGAATTTCTGCACAGTGCAAAACTTTTACAGCATGAATCTAACAGACCTTCGGTGGGATCTCTGCTTCTCTACAGTAGCTGTTTTCCCAGTTTATTGAGCAGAAAGTATCTTAGTTAGGATCAGACTCTCACCCTTGCTGTCGTCCTCGGATCCGGCTGTGCTGTAGAACCGCCTGGTAGGGAGACTTGGCAGCGCAAACTGTCAGAGTTAGGGCCAAAATGGGAACCAGAAGAAACAGCTTCATCTTCACTAAAAGGAATCCAACTCCTGGTTTAACTCTGAACCTTAATCCTGCTCCCTCTGTTCTGCTGCTCCCTGAAGCTGAGGCTTCAGGAGGAGGAGGAGGAGGAGGAGCAGTAACGCAGAGGACCAATTGAAATTCTGGTTCCAGCCTCCTGAGGAAGTTGGTTCATTTTAATTTTTTCTCCCTAAATCACACTGTCAGTTGGAACCTCCAACACCTGCTGTAAATGGTTGAAATAAACCATGTCCTCATTCTAATACAAATGGACTTAGAGACAGTGGATGGGGCCATAATGTCCCTGACACCTGAAATTAATCAGTGAGCATCACAGTTTCAGTTTGTTTGGACAGATTTAACTATCACTCAGCAGGTCTGGAAGGTGGAGAACAAACTGTCCACAAACCCATGGAGACCAGGGGACAGGAGTGTGGAAAAGGGAAGAAGGATCGGAACTGAAGGAAGGACAGAAAACAGATGGTTAAAGGTTGTTTTTATGTGTTGTCATGACAGAACAAGGTCAATTGGAAAACATTTCCAAAATAAAGATCATGTGATCAAAGAGAAGGAAACCTGCAAAGCGATCCATGTCACTACTAATTAAGCTCAGTGTAAATAGCCATCTGTCACAACCAAGAAAATTGTTTGAGTGGGATTTAAATGAGATGTTCTAATGCAAAATAACACTTATGTTACAGCATGGCTACAGGGGGCCATAGTAAGGTCACACAGAGAGAGGCTAGCATGGGCTGCTAGTCTTTGGTGGAGGCTATTTAAAGTGAAAACTGTGCATTATTTGGTGAATGGTATGTACTTACATAGCGCCTTATATAGCACCTTTTTTCAAGTCAGGAGACCAAAGAGCTTTACACTACATTCATTCACCCATTCACGCATACACTCACACACTGATGGTGGCAAGCTACATTGTAGGCACAGCTGCCCTGGGGCTCACTGACAGAAGCGGGGCTGCCGTACACTGGCACCACCGGGCCCTCTGACCACCATCAGTAGACAATGCAGGTGAAGTGTCTTGCCCAAGGACGCGACGACGCCGGGGCTTGAACGGTCAATCTTTCGATTTCAGGACAAATTCCTATATCAAACGCCACTGTCACCCCGAGGACCGTGTATGTAAATAGGAATTTTCCTTGCCCAGATTTTGCAGACACAGAGCCGTGTGTCACGGTCTTGGTTCTGTTAAGTATTCTTTTGAGTATTCAGTTTTACTTTGCTCCATGTTTTCTAGTTTTATTGGTTTAGTTCCAATTTTGTTGTGATTTGTGGATATTTTTGAGTTCTTAGGCTTTTCTTTGTTGCCCTCTCTGTTCCCTTTTCCTTAGCTCTTTAGACGCCTCAGTTCACACCTGCTCCCAATCAGCTCGTTAGTCCTCCCTTTGTTCAGTCCATTATAAATACTCTCCTTGTGTAGTTCCTCAGGGCTGGTTCCTCGTTTTACATTGTCTCTCCTCACCTTTTCCCTGACTCCACATGCTCTTTTCCCCTAATTTCCCCTGATCGTTCAATAAAATCTTTAAGAAACTCACCTCTGCCTCCCTGCCTCTGCATTTGGGTCCTCAAAAACCACAACTAAACCCTGACACCGTGATTGATAAGTATACTGCGACGCTGACTGGGAAGGCATAGAAATGGACTTGAGTCTGGCTGGAGTTCATAGATAAACTGATATAGGCCTAATAAAATGTAACCAAATAATATAAGTAAGATACATTCTTTGATGAAATTTAGCAGGACGGCTAATTTATAGGCTTGTGAGCAAAGGTCAATTAGAAGCTGCAGGTGCTTTAATGCTAATCACAAAGCAGGGTGATGGGGGTGGAGACAGAGTGTGCAGCATAGCTTAATAAAATGTGAATTTATTAATGGCCTTCATTTTTAGTAAGTACATATTAGGCTACACATGGATGTTTTTAGTGCTGTCTACGTATCCTGGGAATTATTTAGACAATTTACCACACATTTGTTGCATTCCTACTTTGCTTTTTTGTCTAACATCCGTAGAGTTCCCTTCTTGTGTTTAATTGGTGCACTGTTTCTGCTTTTAAACCAGTAATGGCGTTAGGTCTACCTTCAGAGCAAGTTGAGAATCTGTCCCCATTCTTCGGGTGGATGCTGGTGGTCTAAAAGATCTCTAGAGTCAGCGGCTCAAACTATAATAGGTCATGGCTGCTGACCTCTTCCACAGAACCTTCCTCTCTTATTCCTCTTTCTCTGGAAAATACAAGAAATTCTCCCCCCTCACACAACTCTTCCATCTAAAAAGCCTCATCATTGTGATCCCTCTCCATGTTTGTGAGACTCTCACTGTGAATGTCATGCTGCACGCAGCCTTCCACAGACTAGGCAATGTGCATTTTTCAAATATTTTATGTGGGCAGAAGTAAGGCTCTGGAATTTGAGTTGTTCTTTTATATAAAAAAAAAAGGGTACATCATAGCTCTATGTAGTCTTTTAGAAAACGCTGTGCTACAGTCTCTTAGGGGATAGTGAAGAAAGTAAAAAACACTGGAGTCAATCCTAAAATGTCAGAAGCAAAAGCATGATTTATAATGTCCACATACTGTATAAGGTTGAATAGCTCTGGACCCTTTCTACAGAAACAGCTCCATAGTTTGAATGAAATGATCTTCCTGGCTATAATGCCCCATGTAGTAAGTAGCCTGGACTAAGAAACGTAGAAAAAGAATTAAAACCTAGTTGCTCACCTGCAAATACTGTGAGCAGGCAAGCCTTACACAAACTCTCTGTAAAGACTGGAATGTAGCTACTACAGAAGTGTCAGGGAAAGTGTGTATGTGTTTTTGTTGATTTAGACATGAGCTTTTGAAACAGACCTACAGACCAAAGAGAATATCTCGAGTGCTTTGTTTCTCAGCTAAAACTAAACTGTGTGAATATGAAGATAAGTTGGATGAAATACCATAGTGCCTGGAAAGTGGTACACAGACTGACCTGTGCATTTCTAATATAAGTTCAAAATCAAGTACGAACCATTACAAGACTAACATTAGTCTAAATATTAATTGCAAGAAGTGGATTCTTACAATGAATTCTTCCAACCCCATTCAAAAGTGTTAATTTAACCTGTCATGTTTTACACAAACTCCTCCCACACCAAAAAAACCCATACTGTAGTCTGTCTTCAAGACGAACTGCTGATCTAGCTAATGGGTTAGATTCATATATTCATAGATAAATATAGCTGAGCATCATCAATTTAACAATTGAACTTAATCCCATGCAGTGTGATAAATTTACCTATTAGAAGCAGACATCTATTGCAAACGGTATTTGCTCGAGTACTGAACCCTGTGGTACTCCATAAGTAACACTGTATTACCTGGAAGATATAGCATTAACACTGATAACTGTTTAAAGAGAATATTAAGATCGACTGGATCAAATTCAGCACTGATATCTAACAGAATAAGTCCAGACAGTAGTCCATTACCCTGGAAACTCTGAAGATGTTCTGAGGTCTTGAAAACGTTGTTCCAAGAGCTGCTCTGATTACTTCCTGAAACTCTGGAAACTTGGATATCAGATATTTTCTTACCCTAAAGTACTTCAGCACTGATTAAAGAGGCTGATTAGAGCACTTCCAATTGCTTTCATCAGTGGCTGAGAGGATCTGAGGTAAGGTAAAGCAAATGAGAAGCAGCTGGTAAACAGAGCCACCCATGATCATGGCAAATGCCAGCTCGGCTGTGGCTGAAGCCTGGCTGGCAGTCTGTTTCCACTTTAAGGAAGGGGGTGTTCTCTATGGAGTTTCATGTTATTATTGACCGCTTATGGAACATTCACCCCAGAGCCAGATAGATAGTTCCTTCATGCTAACGGAGGGTTCAACTGAAATCAGAACACTGTCCATATGTGGAATCTACAGCACCAGAAAGTACAGGTGCTGGTCATAAAATTAGAATATCATGAAAAAGTAGATTGATTTCAGTAATTCCATTTAAAAAGTGAAACTTGTATATTATATTCATACATTACATACAAACTCATATATTTCAGATGTTTATTTTGTTTAATTTTGATGATTACAAATGACAACAAATGAAAATCTCAAATTCATCATATCAGAAAATTAGAATATTACTGAAGACCAATAAAAACAAAGGATTTATAGAAATGTTGGCCAACTGAAAAGTATGAACATGAAAAGTATGAGCATGTACAGCACTCAGTATTTAGTTGGGCCTCCTTTGGCCTGTATTACTGCAGCAATGCGGCGTGGCATGGAGTCGATCAGTCTGTGGCACTGCTCAGGTGTTATGATAGCCCAGGTTGCTCTAATAGTGACTTTTAGCTCTTCTGAATTGTTGGGTCTGGTGTATTGCATCTTCTTCTTCACAATACCCCATAGATTTTCTATGGGGTTAAGGTCAGGAGAGTTTGCTGGCCAATTAAGAACAGGGATACCATGGTCCTTCAACCAGGTACTGGTAGCTTTGGCACTGTGTGCAGGTGCCAAGTCCTGTTGGAAAATGAAATCTGCATCTCCAAAAAGTTGGTCAGCTGCAGGAAGCATGAAGTGCTCTAAAACTTCCTGGTATGTGGCTGCGTTGACCCTGGACCTCAGAAAACACAATGGACCAACACCAGCAGATGACATGGCACCCCAAACCATCACTGACTGTGGAAACTTTACACTGGACTTCAAGCAACGTGGATGAAGTGCCTCTCTTCTTTTCCTCCAGACTCTGGGACCTTGATTTCCAAAGGAAATGCAAAATTTACTTTCATCAGAGAACATGACTTTGGACCACTCACCAGCAGTCCAGTCCTGTTTCTCTTTAGCCCAGGCAAGACGCTTCTGACGCTGTCTGTGGTTCAAGAGTGGCTTGACACAAGGAATGCGACAGCAGAAACCCATGTCTTTCATATGTCTGTGTGTGGTGGTTCTTGAAGCACTCACTCCAGCTGCAGTCCACTCTTTGTGAATCTCCCCCACATTTTTGAAGGGGTTTTGTTTCACAATCCTCTCCAGGGTGCGGTTATCTCTCTTGCTTGTACACTTTTTTCGACCACATCTTTTCCTTCCCTTCGCCTCTCTATTAATGTGCTT